TACAGCTGCTAAGGAGAGGAAGATAGTGAAGGAGAAGATTGTTGCTCAAATCTAAGCTTAGGTTTATACTTAGTCTGGTATGGCAGGCTGTTTTTCCTCTCTGTTGTCCCATTTGTAGATCTCTAAAATAGGATTCTTCCTGGTCAAAATCACACTCCTACCCAGAACTGTAATAACACATTTTCTAAATTGCATTTTTCCAGCAGTAAAAAAAAATAAATAATAATAATAATAATTATTATAATTGTACTGGTAGGAATTAAGTTTTATATACCTAGAAATATGAAGACATTTTAACTGGCTGTTTTGACATTTATCAAATTGACTTTTACATTGTATTTCTGATAATTAAAATAAGTTTGTTTCTGATCAAAATAATACCATGTAATAATAGGAATATGGAGATCTGACATCCAGAATGGCAAGAATGTCATTTGTTTTGAAATAGTAATTTTTTCAAAATATCAAAAATACCTATTTAGACAAACTAATAAATATTTAAATGGCCTTTTCCAATTTTGATAACATTGCGAGGGAAAGTTACTTTACTGGTTGACTGGTAGTGGATAATGGAAAATCACCAAGCAGCAGGTGAAGATGAAGTATGAAACCTGTTCATCATCTCATGGGGTTCCTCTTCATTCTGATTCTGACTGTCTGACTTTGCAGTTGTTTTCTATAATGCTATTATCACACATATCAATTTTCTCTCACCGATATCAAGTTCTGTTAATTATCTGTTAAAGAAGTCTGTGTAATGCTGCAAATGTGAGGATTGATAAGTTCTGGATGTATGGGATGGATTGTGAGGTGAAACGGTAGTACTCATAAACATCTGATGAGCCTTTCCTTATTAATGGTTAATTCTCAGTGAATTAAGTCTTATTTTGATATTTAATCTGATCCTCATCAAAAGGATATGCCATCTTTGTGTTTCTAACACCTAATGTCTCTAATGGACCTAGTGAAGGATTTTCATTTTATTGTTTGCACGTGACTACGGCAGAACTCTCCTGATTAAATAAGGAAATAAAATGACATAGAGACACTGATGGACTGACAGATACAGGAAGTTAGAATATAGCTGCAGGACAGAAGATGCTTCCTGCTGCCTCCAAATCACACAAACATCTACAGAGATTTCTTCCTCCTGACTCAGTGAGATTGTTGTTCTGATCTGTTTATAGATGAAAAATATCTAAAGTGTGAAGCAGGCTGGGAGCTACATGGAGGAAAATGTTATTTTTTTTCCAACAATACGTCCACCTGGACTGAGAGCAGAGATTCCTGCAGAGGTCAGGGAGGAGACCTGGTGAAGATCGACAGCAGAGAGGAGCAGGTATGAATCACTGCTGCTGCTTCATGCTCTCACAGATTTGATCATCATCATGTTTCTTCATTTCAGCACAGAAAGGTATCTCAGGTTTCTCCATCTTCCATCCAGATGTTCCTGGAGAGGAAACTGAAAGAGAAATTTGCAAATGGTGAAGATTCGTTCTGGATCGGACTGACGGACTCAGAGAAAGAAGACAGCTGGGTTTGGGTGGACGGATCTCCACTGAAGGAAAGGTCTGATTGTTCTCAGAACATTTGGTTCATTTGAAGAGTTTAATTCACTCAGGTTTACTGAACTCTGTCTTTTTCTTCTTCATCTCTTAGTTTGAGTTTTTGGGGAAGTGGCCAGCCTGATGGTTATGGTGGAGAACCAGAATCAGAGGTGGACTGTGTGAGAACATTTAAGGAAGGAAACTCTATCAAGTGGTTTGATAGATATTGTAAAGATAGTCTGAGAAGTATTTGTGAGAAAACAGCAGAATCTCAGATGTGTTTGTGTTTCTGAAATTTAGTCCAGAAAACAGCCTCTGATCTCTGAACAGAAACACATTTTATCAATACGAGTTAAAATAATTTAAGTTTTTTAACAGAAAAAAGAAAAATACAATAATTTGTTCCAACAGCAGATCTCCTGTAAAAATGTAATAATCAATAAACTTTTGTTTCTTCCCAGACTGATTTTCCTCTTTTCATTAATTATTACAATAACTATTAAAGTTGTAACTCATTAATTTAGATCATATACTTCCCCAACTTTCACAAATTGAAGAGTTTAAGGTACAAGAGAAAAATTAAATAGTTTTTATTAAAACTGAACTGACGGGTTGATGGATTATGATATCTGCCTAAATCAATAATTAATCAATAAAATTTGCTACCGATTTTTAAGTAAAATATGAAGCATTAACATCATAGAATAATAGCAGTTAAATAAATAGATTAGGGATTTATTTCATTTAACCATGAACAAATGTGTCACCTGATGTCAAACTGCAGTTGAAACAACAAACTTTGTGTTTGAAATAAACAAGCTCATTTGTATCTGTCATGATTTTTATCTAAAGCTCGGACCCACATGCAGATAAACCAATTCAGACAGACACCAGGGGAAAGGTTTAAAAGGTTTATTGAAGAGATAAGGCACGGTGCAGAGTTGCTCTGAACTCAGCTCGACCGGAACTGGAAGGTGAAGGGAAGACAAACGATTAGTTCAGGGATATGGGGAAGAGGATCTGGTTGTTGACTCACGTTTCCAGCGAAGTTTTAGAATCTTTGACTCCAATCTGTGTGCTGTTTTCCAGTGTTATTCTGATGTGGTGGAGGGCGGAACAGGGTTTATCCAGAACTCGGATGGTTGGTGAACGGAGAAACTGACTGCCACTCAGATTTCCTGCTGTATTTGAACGGGTCGTAGTGGAGATGATTCCCTTGCTCAGAGAGTAAACTCAACGTCCTCTCAAGGAAACTGGATCCAAATCTCCAGTTTAAATCCCCAGCTCAGTTTGAGGCTCAGTTGTTTCCTCCAGGGAGAGAAGGTCCAAAAAGGTCCAGTTTGCAGGATAACTTCCAGCCGAGAGGCAAAGACAAAAAACGAAGTCAGGTAGAACAAGAACTCAGTCTTACTCAGCAAAAACTCAGCTTGGCTACAGTACCCAAAACTGGCAAACACTCTGGCGTCGAGGGAGTGGCAATCAGCAGCTTAAGAGCACTCCGTTAACGAGGAAACCATCATCAGTTGTGTAAGGAGGCGGACCAGAACCAGGCGCCTCCTGCTGGTGGAAGGGAGAACAACACAAAATACAAACACACAGACTGGAGTCCTGACAGTATCATTTTTGAGTAAGTATACTTTATTAATTCTGAATACACAAACCTTATAAATATGTATCTAAAAAAATAAGTTATATTAAAATATAAATATGCATCTTGACAGGTTTATTGAATAGGTTTGTTTTCAAATTAAATAAAAATAGTAAATGGAAAATTATATTTATGTAATAAATGACATAAATCTGGAAAATTTAGACAATATCAGTAGTAGGATCAAAGACCCCTGAAGTCTCTGCATCAAGTCACATAGTTTGTCTTTATTTTGGCATTTATTGATCTAGTTGAATAAAACTTGCACAGATTTCCCTGGGGAAGAATGGAACAAAGAATTGAAGTGTCAAATCATATACATTGTCATATACACTTCAGTGCACTCAACCAGGGTCTGTAACACACAGACATAATCAGTTCCCCGGTGAATATATGCGCTATTAATTAAACTTCACTATAACACTATCACAACGTAGATTTGGTCAGCTAGCATGAAACTCAGTCACTGTGTTTTTGTCACACATGACTCTATTAGCTCCTTATATCCTTTTATGCAAACCACAAGGAAATAATATTATACTGTTTAAACTTTATTGAACAGTTCTCCATTACACAAAGAACACTAGATCAAAATAACACTCTAAAATACTTTGTTTAGTGCTGCCTTTGACTGTTGAAGTTAAACTGTTAACTGAGGTATCATTAGTTTAAGTTTGTGCTCCAACCATTTTATTTGATTTTAGCATGTTTTTATCCTTATTTGCTTCTGTCTTCATTTACTTATATTTAATTTTTAATTTCTTCTGAAGCACTTTGAATTTTGAATTGTGCTATAGCCTTGCTTTACCTTGTCTTTAACTTTGGGTGTTAGTAGAGCCTCCTAGTGGCCGACCACAATACTGTCTTTATTTAATGGATGTAAAATGGAAGAGTTGCTTCAAAAGAGACTTAGTTTTTGATCTGAGAACAAAGAATAAAAGTTAATCAGAACAAACATTTACCAATCAGCATTTACAAGTCAAAGACAAACAAAAGGAAAAGAAAAGTGTTTGTTGGACTTAAGTTGGTCCAAAAATACATTTTAAATTAAAATGTCCTACTTTTCATACCTAAAAAATTTCCAGGGGGAATTTCAAAATGGTCGGGATTTTGGTCTACTGCAGTGCAGCACGTAGTCGAAACACACTGGGCCCTCGAACCGAGCCGTCAGCTCCGGGGCTGGTCTAGGAACCCCGGCGGACAGGGACAGGGAGCCAGCGGGGGACGGAGCGACCAAACCCGACCCGGTGATGGTAGCCTTGACTCTGACTCCCTCTGCTTCCCCCCCGCTGCCTTACCAGCCCCCAGCCCCCTCCTCCAGCTGATGATGGGCTGCTCATGGCTCTCTGCTGAGGTCCGGTCCAGTCAGCGACCCAGCAGTCGACTCTTCAGAAGACTGAAAAATGTCCCCTTCTCCATGCAGCCTGGAACACTGCATTTACACTCGTGGTTCTGGCTCATTTTCAATAGAGAAACTGCCTGCTTTGTAATTCTAGTAGAAGTAAACCCAACTGTAGGCTAAACAGCTAAACTGGTGTCTTACATCTACCTCTATTCATGTTCTTGGGCCATGAACGAGTGGGCTGGTCTGTATGTACATTTCGGGGCGTGACAAAAGTACAGGCCAGAACCAAATAAGGCAACATATCCGAGTTCACGTCAACTTGGGGCTTTTTTTGGATTCGCCCGTTTTATGGTGGAAGTTTAGAATTGGGAGCTTTACAGAGAAAGTAGATGTTGATGGGGTTTGAACTTCTCTTTACGTGCATTTCACCCACTGAAATATCGTT